ACATTTAGAGTGTATAAATGATGTTTATTAGAACAAGGTGGACAAAAATTAGATTATGTTTTTGCTCGAATGAACAGCGACGACTCGGATTACTGTTTTTATTTTGTCTACCAAAAGAAATAATTAAGGAACTAAAATGATTAAGTCAATAAAAGGATTGTCTAAATTGCAAATTTAAAGGTTAGTTTTGAATGGTTCTAGTTGGTAATTACAATGCGACCACAGCTTTTGATATTTTTGAGTTAAATTCAATAGTAATGCGCTAGTATCTATATTACTTTAGTCGCGCTATAGTGGTTGCTACATAATCGACTGTGGCGCCCTCATTTATTTTCAAGATTAAATAGCCAAGCTGTATGTCTGTTAATTGTATCTTTGTTATTCCGAAAAGTTTGTTCTATATTTGTATAATAACTATCAAGATACATACCAAATTAATTAAAAATACCTTGATACTTTAATTAGTTTACCTTTATATTGTAAGTTTTGTGAGATATACTAAAACAATTATATTTTATTCGCTTACTCTGCAAACTGTTTGACGAGGAACTCGACTAGTTTCAAGCCGTTCTAGAGGCTTGTTTTTGAGGGGGGAAAATAATCCAATGACTTCTCCCGCCCGGGTGAGGCGAGAAGGAGTGTCAGACTCTTACTGACTAAAAACTACCCCGTTCCTTCTCCTGCACTTCGAGCCGGAGCCCCGGCAACCAGTTAAGTCTTCCGCGGCTCCGTATCGGCATCAGCCTTATTGGGCCCCATCTGTGGTGGTCTGATGGCTTTTGAACGCGTGCGGGGTACGCGACGCGCCGTACGCTAGGGCCTGGTTCTGGTCGGGCGGCGAGTCACCCGTGCTCGCCGTCCACAGCCCCGTGTCATTCTAGAGGCTTGTGTTCATTAGCAGCAGCGACATACGACGCAACGACTGTCTGACTGAGTTTGCGCGCCCTCTGCCGGGATTCCTCCGCACTTTCTTTTGCGGCGGTGGCCGTGGCTTGAGTTATATCGGGGAAACTTGTCGCATTATCATAACCAGAGAAATTAAGCCTTTAGACAGCTTAAAACAGTTAAAACTTCCTAGTCAGTTACGTGAGATAATAATAATAACTTGTTGCTCTAAACTAGTAGAGCTTTTCTCAATATTTACGTAAGTAAACCGGTATTTTTAATTAATTTAATTTGTTCTATTTAGTTAATGCTGTATAAAACATACAAAATATCAGTTACTGTACTTTGAAAAAATCTAGAGTAAATTATACTTTAATCATGAGGTCAGTCCAATCTTATGGTATTTCATTTTCCCTCAAAACATTTGCTACGTTTATCAATGAAATAACCGTAATTTTAATATGGTTGATCTAATACAAACTTGCGCCTCGCTTTCTTTACTTTAACTTTCAATTATACTCGAAGTTGACAAATATTAAATCTTAAGCTCGAGATAGAGAAGTCATAGAACAGAATACATATTACTTATGTGGTACATGTGGGTACATTGATTCGATCATTCGAATTATTCATCGAACATAACATTGAATTCTTTCTTTACAAGAGTCCGTTCATCAGCAAGAAACAAATTAATGTTTTTATGCAGTTCTCCGCAAAATTAGTATCTATACATCTGTACAGGGTGACTTGTAACTCGACCTGCGTCACAGAGATAAGGAACCGTGTGCGGGTAATGTACTCATCTTAGGGAATGTCAGATTGAAAAAAAACAGTAAATAATAATGCCCGTTTTGCTTTACATTATACTTATCACCCAATTATTAATTTATTTTTTGAGAATTTTATAAATATTTCAATGTTTTTGGGTATGAAGCTGTCTGAATTTTCACATATTTTTTTTAAAATGGATCCATTTTTCTATTGACCGAATTAGTGACTGAAAACAAAATTTGACACTAATATACTTTTTGACTAGGGACCTCAGGGCTATTTTTGTTAGAAATTAGTTGTGTTATCACCTCCCGAGAGGAGTACGTCGAGTTACTAGTCACCCTGTATAAAGAAACATATAAGTTTCCCTCCAAAATAATGGAACCCCTTTAGATTAGTTCTTAATTATCTAACTATTTTATATATCAACCAAACTTCGACATTATTAGGTGCTCATTTGATAACGCCATAATAAAAATCAGCTCACATACAGTATAAGGTCACGTGGCGTCGCTGGACGGTTTTTCTGTAATTCGTAATTCGCGACTGTGTTACCAAATCCCTCGCGAATATCCTTTCCTTCCAGGAAATAAGAGTTGAGATCGAAATCAAAGCGTCTTAGGATAATCGAACTAATCGAATCTTTAGGACAAGACTTTCAAAATCTATAACAGGAATGAGCCACATGCCACAGTTGTCACTTGTGATTTCAAAATCCCAGTCCTTTCTATTGTCCTTAATGCAACAGCAAGTATCAGATTATTTAATTTATACTATGACATGTTCTGCAAATTGGTAAATGTTTAATATGCTTAATATTTATGTATAAAAGTAGACAATATATTGTATCTATGACCTTTTAGCTTTATTTATCATTGGACATATGTTTTGTTACAAAATGCTAAAAAACGATAAATATAATTATTACAAAATAGAATTTCTTTGATATATTTTACTATATAATAACTATCGTGAGACATACAAAATTAATTGAAAACCACATTTTACTCACGTAAAATGACTTATGAGATTGGCCAGCTAACGAGCAGACGGATCACCTGATGGTATGCAATTGATGCCCCATGGACACCTGCAACACCAGAGAAGTTACAAGTGTGTTGCCGGCCAGAAATGGTCAGAAATAGCACGCAGCGAAATACAATGCAAGCAAGTATTGTTTTTTATGGAATAAACCGGTAAACGAGCAGACGGATCACCTGATGGTAAGTAATCGACGCCACCCATAGACACCCCAAAACACTACAGGCGTTACAAGTGCGTTACCGGCCTTTTGGGGATTAGGAATTTGAGGATTGCTGGGTATTCAGGGATTGGGGAGATTGGGAGGGGGAGGGAGTAATTGGGTCTCCGGTAACGTCACTTACACGACGAAATAAAACGCAAGTATTGTTTGACGACGATTTTCTACCGGCCGTGGTAAAAAATAAAATAAATGGAATTAAATACTTATTTTATGTGAGCAAACCGTTGTTTTCAATTAAGCTATCTTATAATCTAATATGGCTAAGTTATTGCTTTATGGTATTGCCACTGATAACCAGTAGGAATTGGCAGTTTAGCGTCCTTGGCTAAAGCTAATTTGATCATTATATAATAATTGTAGCTTTTTTTTCATTTCAATATAGCTAGTTAACTAGCCTGGCTGCAGGATCTTCGACATTTTTGAATAATAAGTGTGTTCCTAAATTAGTAACGTGAATACATACTTATATAGTAATTCATTTGTATACCAACAAATCAGAGATTTTTCATTGCTATAATTTCACACCAAATTGTACAAAAGACCTGTTTTTAGAGATTATTTTTATGTTGGACAACTATAAATTAAGTCACAATTTATGTTAAAAAACATGATGTAAAGAATGTTTTTCAGATTTTATAAAAACATTAAATGGTTTTTATAATAACTATCGTGAGACGTACTAAATTAACTAAAATCGCGGGTAAGTCACGTGAGTATACTGAGAAAAGCTCTACTAGCTACTACTACTACTTATACTAGAGTGAGCTGCGCGACGTCGCCGCGACCACGCACGCTGCTCATGAGGAAGAACCCCTCTGTGGTTCGAAACAAGTAGAGTTTTTCTCAGTATATTCACGTAAGTAACCCGCAATTTTAGTTAATTTAACAATAAATGGTCATGTGTCGGTTGGCAATTTTTTATAATCTAATATGTTATCTATGTGTTCATTGGACACAAATATTTATTACAATCTAACTTGACTATGCAAAACTAGCGCCCTTATTTGAAGTTATTAAGCTTCTCAATCAATCAAATCATTTATTTGCTAATATGGGTAAATTAAGTTGTTAGCACATAAGTAGATACAGTTCCGACCATATTACGCCTTGAGGCATGCAAATGACAAAATTTACAGTTTTACAATGTTATTTGGAAAAAAAAATCAAGTACATTCAAAATTTCAACACAATTACTGTAATATAAGTGAATTAAAAATATAATGTCACCAATTTAATTAAAATTTAATGTCAATAAATGTATTTGTCAAATAAAATGTCATGAATTAGATTAAATAAAATGTCATACAAAGGACAATGCCCAAAAATGAATCTATAAATTCTAAAATGAATCTTATAAAAAATGCGACTGTAATTCTCGTTTCTGTGATTTTTTTTCAATACTTTAATAGATAAACATAAACAAATACCCTGGTCAAAATTGATTTGAAGTAACAAAAAGTAGGGAAGAACAAATTGATGGGGTTTTCAGCACTCAAGGTCCCCATAAAAATTTGGCTCTATCCTTATTTTCCCTTTTTAATTAACAAAAAAATATGGAAACATAGATGTACTGATTCAGAAATTTAAAATAAATAATACCCATCTTATCAAACAAATGCAAAATACATAGACGCAAATTTAAATAAAGTTTTTTTTATTTACACAATACCGGTCATTTGGTATTTTATTGTAATTTTTAGTGTTTTCGTTAGAGGCTTAGACGAGGATTTATAATGGCCAGAGTAGGCAAAAATTTTACTGTAGAAAATAACAACAAAAACGGCAAGGTAAGGTGTTGAGTCACAAATATCGTTAACAAAACCCCTGTAACCCTTCATTTATAAAAATATTCTCTATTGGCTATTATATCAGGTCATAATCTATCGTAATTATGCTGTATTTCAGTTATCAATTGCAATGTAGCAATAAAAACATGTTTTTCTACATTTGTAACAAAACATATGATTAGTTAAAGAAAATTTAGCATTTGTCAGCTTTGTATACATTCCTTTTTGATTATTCTACGCCTATATCTAATTACTGTAACTATATTCAGTTCGATCAGCCACTCCTATCTATATCACGAGGCATCTGGGGGCACCACTGACTCGGTATTCAGCAGCATTTTGGCCACGTAGGCTGCGAAACTTGGAGAAGCCAGCAAACCCTGAAAAACAAATAATTATATATAAAAATTACTTATTTGGTTGTATAAGTAAAGGTGTATAACTGTATAGTAAAAAATTTATTCTAAACAAAGTATGGGTTTTCTGACAGGACCAAGGGCTAATGTTTCAATGCTCAGTTAAATTTTATCAAACGAAAAGCTGAATATTTCATACTAATAACTGTCAAATGTCAATTTTATTCTACAGTTAACAATTAACTGATGCTTGAATAATCGACCTTTAGGCTACGAGTTAGGGTCGTAGTATATACTAGACATCTATTAATAATATAAAACAACTTACATTGTCTTTACCCGTGCCCGTGCCAGTGCCCGGCATTTTCTAAAACAAAAATAGCAACATTAATTTTTAACTAATTATATTATACAGACTATTCCAATAACGACTTGACTATGTCCGATAGTTGGCCTGTTTACAATTGCTTGAAAAAAAAGCCATTTGGCTAGAAGTTTTTATAAAATTTGAATACAAACCGGTTTGAAAAGTGCTGCTACAACAGAAGAAATCCTTGCGGTTTTCATCTGCAAAACCCTATTCTTTTGGTTTAGTTCTTCTATCTTTTGCTTGTGGCTTTCAAACCTCCTCTTCAGCAACTCCTCCCTAAGAAATAAGAGAGCGTCAGAACAATAACCTCTTATCAAGCCTACATGAACATGTTATTTGTTATAAAATAGCTTGTGCTAATAATTACAAAATATTCAAATAAAACAAATTGCTGATATACAGTCTATTAATATGACAATACATTTCGCAAATTTTGAAACAGTTAGTCTCTTTCACATATTCGTAAGAATAACAATATAAAATACTTATCTACTACTCGTAAAAAGCTATACGCAATCTTATGCTATAAATATAAGTAATATAAATAAACTCACTTAGAAGCACTTGAGTAGAAAACTTAAATCACCAATATAAGTAGATACATTCATGCCATATTCTATTGAAGACAAAAATATTTATTGAGCTGTTCAAAACGACGGGAGAATTAAACTAATAATATACATAATCATAAACACATAATAAATGTATAAGTTTCGCGCATTTAATAAAATTTTACTTTATAAACACAAAGGTAAGCATAAGAGCAGATTGAGTACAGCTACGCATGCTTTGTAATTGTAATAGCAATGATAATACATTAAAGTGCTCAGTCATACTTGACCTCGTGTTCTGAACAGCTGCAGCGGCTAAGAGATACAAAATTATACCTGATTTCTGTGCTATCACACATTTTGCACTTCTTTGCGGGTGAGTGACCATTGCTGAGAAGAGGAACCTCCGTAGAGCTGCTGACTGGAGACAAAACCAACAAATAATTACAATCGCTGTGCTTGCTAATTGTGTAATATAATAAAATTACAAGAAAAAACAGCAATGTACCTCCAGTATACACGCATCAACAACAATTCTCAGACACAATAGATTTTTATTTTGACGTTATGTAGTATCGCGATCGATATCAACTTTTATGATTACTAATCTGTTACGTGTAACAACTGTGGTACGAGAAACTACATTAAATACTGTTTAAGATTTATTCCTATTTATCCATGCCACTTTACTCGTAAGTAGCAATAATTTAAAAAACTTTAAATATAGACCACCGTGGGACGCTTTAAAATCGATTTGATAGACTTATGTAGGCAGTTACGAATATAGACGGTAGGTACTTGTACATAGTGTGGTGGAGCACTTTGTTAAGTGCGCTATCTTTGAATCTCTAATTGAACTGTTATTGTCATCTATAATTAAATTTGGTACACTAGTTAGTTTATTTATATCCTCGTCAATTTCATATCAGATCAACAGTCTACAAGAGGCCACTGTTGATCTAAGGCCTCTTCACCACACTTGCTCTTGCTTTCCTAACATATTTAATTTAAACTTAGTACAAAAGGAATGGGCAGGTGAACTTAATGTTTTGAGCATCGTCTGACAGTCGACCTTTTTAGGTAGTGCAGAGATGAATCATATTGTAACAATGCCAGTATATCTTCTTTTATATTCCGAAATATTTCAAAATTATTTTAATTTGACTGTCTCGCTGGCCGAGTTGTCGCAAGCGCGACTGTTGGGCAAGGGGTCTCGAGTTCGATTCCCGGGTCGGGCAAAGTATTACTGGGTTTTTAAAAAAATCTCAGTAGTAGCACGGGGTCTGGAATTGTGCCCGGTATATGGCAATAGGCTCACCCTCTATTACATGGGACTCATAACTTAAATAGTGAAAAGTGGGTGTTACATTGTACAGTGGCATAATGTGCACCTCTGCCTTCCCCTTCGGGGATAAAAAGCGTGATGCTATGTTATTTTAATTTGCTTTACAATAAAACACAAGATTTTGTTGATGTGTGTACGTCTAGAGATAACATGAGTAATTATTTTTCAGGAAATGTCCATTAATAACAAGTAATATTTCAGTGGGTGGGTACCAGCCAAATCATACAATGTTACCCATTCTTATGGTATGGTCCCTTAAATATCTTTATTTACGAAGTTGAAGAAAGAACATCAATATTATGAAATATTGAATATTCGAATCATCAAACTATTCCAATATTATAGTCATTATTTCACGTAAAAACGGGTGGTCCTTAAATCATCAACGTTAGCACTTAGAGACTTTACCGATCAAAGGTACCCGGTTTCTAAAAGGTTGATCAACACAAAAATCATCTGTTAAATCTCCTTAAAACTACTGTTAAAGCTATTGTCAACGGCTTTAGTCGTAGTGTTGATAAAATCGATTTAAAATACGTATTGAATTATCTAAACGGTTAAGTCCACATACAACATTCACATAATTTATATATATATTTTAACATAATTGGCAGTAAATGCCTGTCGGAAAAAATTCTCTATATTTGAGGTAGATACAATACAATCCAATTTCTCATTTAATTATATGAGAAGGTGGCCAAAGAGTTTTCATTGGAAAATTCAAAGGCCATTTAAGCATTGTCGTATCAAAGTGAAAGACATCATGAAATGTGTCTTAAGGCATACATTAGTATGATATTAGTATCCGAACATTATTAATGGACACCTCCTTACCTTCAGAAAAAGGAAATAAAATTAATCAACTATATATCACTAACAATGAGTAGATTGGGGAATTCAGCCATCATCAACAACAACATCAACAGCCCATAAGTGGCCACTGCTGACCCCAAAGGGCTCTTCTTACACGGACCAAGTTCGATCAATTCACCACACTTGCTCAATGCGGGTTGGAAATTTTAAACTTATAATTAGAAATTATATGCTTAGGTTTCCTCGCGATGTTTTCCTTCACCGTTTGTTAGTGGTGTCCAAATAATCTTAGAAAATACATATAACTTGGAAAAAGTCACATTGGTACTTGCTGTTGGTAGGTTGCGAAATCAGCCATGTTAGTGTTTTTTATCATCATCATTTACTGCGTCAGTACTATTTATGTAATTTAGACATATTAAGGAACTCGCATCAACACGCTTGAGAAGCTAGTGCTATAACCAATATAGCACAATTATAAAAATATACCTTGTCACAAGTTGTTGTTCGACAATCAGCATTATTCGATAATATGTATTGTTTAATGTACAAACTCAATTGCTTTCAGTTCAACCAGAATAACTCTAAGTAATTTTTTTCACTTTTCTCTGCTAGTTAGCGTTTGCCATTGTGTCTTCTCGAATTAGGATCCTGACAATTTTCTTATAAAAATTTGAATTAAGAAACATAAGTGATTGCTTAGATAAGAGCTAACAAAACGTTTGCAATGCATGAGATTCCATGTAGCGTGAAAATCTTACTTTTGTTTAGATTTTTCTATTTTCGAAAAGGTGTTTAGTATTTATCAAGTAACATTCGAGAAGCAATTGATGAAAATTTGTAATTAGAATGTTTTAGCGTATGCGCAAAGTATTAACTAATTCTATACAACTTTATTAAAATACACTTGCTTGTTAATAGGTATATCAAAATATATTTTGCAGTTTAGTTTGTTACAAGTTTCACTGTAGTATTATTCACAATGCAAAGCAATTTTACGTTTGCATTTTGCAAAGATTATCATAACGTGTTGCAACATATAGTATGAAATGTATGATATTAATTACACAGTTATTTTCATATAGCAAAGAGGATACTTATCCAGATGCTTTTATTTTAGATCGCAATGTTTTTTTTGCCTAAACAGTGTTCCTTTACATTAATTTCAGTTTAGACACAGCTAGGATAATTTAAAATTGAATTATTTTATATTTGTATGTATTATTATTCGCAAAAGTGGTTGTACTATGTCAATGCAGCATAGAGCAATGGTGTATTTAATAAATAGTACTCGATTGTATAGTGAACAAATGAGAGCACTTGTACTGTAGTCTTTTTGAGTAATTTGGAACACATATTTTGATTTAAAAATAAAATCAGCACAAGAGCAGTGTTACGGTATGAAATAACGGCTTCGGTCGCGTTGTTTTAGCTGCCTAATATTGTCATAGACTTATGCCAATATTGGTAAGAATCATTGATATCCACAGCTACCAGTGTATTTCGGTAGTAAATTACATTACAATTAGCCCAGCAGTTGAGCAGAAAAATATAACATATGAACTTTCATATTATTCATTTTTATTTGTGACAGACTATTATTGTTTTTATTAGTTTTCAGAAATTGTTTTGTAGCAAAAGAACTGTCACAAAGAAACAACAAGATGTCTCATTCGCAGTATTGCTTAATACAGTGCTCATACATACCTTCATGTTCATCGCCGGCCCAATCACGTTTTTGGCCTAAAACAGCCGTCCCGTAGATATTACAGGTTGAGTCAGGGACTGCGTAATTCATATGAGTAGGGACCATACTGAAACATTACATAGAGTAAATTACTTACAAAGAATTCTAGACTAAATTGAATTAATCTATGATTTTGGAATGGTTCATGGGTAATACCAACTAGGTACTTATACTCAGAATTTTAATTCGATTCCAGATTTGACATTAGCTACTGTCATTTTGTAAAATAATGATACCACATGTATTAGTAGTGATGGACACAAAAATCGATAAACAATCAGTGTTTGTGTTTTATAATAAATGTTACAGAAAGTGATAGCGATAGCGATGACGGCGAAAATTTATAGAATAAATTATTACCATAATACATCTATGTGTTTTATTTGTCATGTTCCTTCATGATTACATTTTTTTATTTATTTCACACATAATTATAAAAGAAAAGTCAATTATAAAAGAAAAATGCCTGCGGCATAAATCCACCTTGTGTACACTTTGTGCATGAAGCGTTAAAAATTTAAAAAAAAGTCTCAGATCGTTAATTAATCGTCAAAACTAAATTATCGGTACAGAAATATTAAATTTCCTGATATACTTAGTTTATGACAGTAAGATTATAATCGAGAAGAATCGATCCGGAAATATTCCATTTCCATATTGAATAATTTTGCAACGTCACTATTTAGTACTTGTCATAACGTTGCAACACTGAAATTGTCAAATCTGGAATCGAATTAAAATTCAGAGTATAAGTGCATCACAAATAACAATATTTCATTATGCAAAAATTAATAATTAAAAAAAAGGAAGGAGAAAGCTAGGTCGTAGAATCAGATATCTTGGCTTTGTGTCATTTGTGAGAGATGGCAACATATAAAAAATATCTTATAACATATTAGCTACGCCTGCTGCTTAGCTCCTATAGGTCATATGTGTTTTTTATATTTATTCTATAGCCTTCGTCGACAAATGCACTATAATAACAGAAAAATGGATATTCGAATCGGTCCAGTAGATCCAGAGATTGGTGCGGTGCAAACAAACACTCTTCAGTTTTATAAAATAAAAAAATAGTGTACTATTAGATTAAAATATATAGATTAGTGTAAATTAGTGCCTCATTGGCCGTGTGGTCGCAAGTGTGACTGCCGGGAAAGGGGTCTTGGTTTCGATTTCGGAGTGGGCAAAGTATTATTGGGTTTTCAAAAAATTCTCATTAGTGTAGCATGGCAATAGGTTCACCCCCTATTACATGGAACCTATAACATAGTGAAAAATGGGTGTTACATTGTCCAGTGGCATTAAGTCCCATAATGTGCAATTCTGCCTACTTATTCGGGGATAAAAGGCGTGATGTTATGTTATGGATAGATTAGAACTTACCATGGCTTAGCCGGTGGTGGTGGTGGTGCTAGCCCTAAAGGATACGCAGCTGCAGGCGTATTTGCAGGAGTTTCTAGAAAAGAAAATACCACATCGTTTATTAATTCCATACAACAATTATCACACTAGCCTGTTGAAAATCATCTTCTAAATTTGATCATACAAAAGTAGTCTTTATACATTGGAAATAAGGTCTATAATGTAGTTAGTGGAGACTGGTCACCGGTGACCGCTTGGGGATATATGGGCTAGAAAATATTTGGATCTGTACCTATAGCATTATCAGAACTTCATTAGGAGGTTTGACATATTTGTCTGGTACTACATTAACTAGATGCATGATGTATCTTTTCTTACCTTCTGTTTGTGGCGTTGGATCTGGTTGTGATGTGATGTTCTCTTTAAGATGTGCTAATGTGTGTGGAGGCAAATAGCCTGATCTAAAGAAGTATTCTTTTTCAAACACGGTTGCGTGTACAAATTTACATTTTGGGAATGAGCAGACTGAGTTTTGGAAGTTGCGGCAAAACGTATATACGCCAGGCAACTGTGACAAAATTAATTTATGAGCAAATATACAGGCGGCGCCTTTCTTACAAGTGCCTCGCACAAAATTGCGGCACATAATAACTTTTGGTTCTTCCGTTGCTTCTGATTGATCCGTTTTAATAGTAGTTCTTAATTCCTCAGTTTGAATAAATTCTTGAGAGTTAACATCATTGTTCTGATACTCATCATCCACAATCTCTTGTTTTAAGTTTGTTATCATGGGTGGTGAATCCGGTGGTGGCGGATTAGGTGGCAGTGGGGGCTGCACATTGGCATTATGGTTTACTTCTTGAAGAATATTGGTACGTGTTGAAGCATCCGTCATTTCAGTTGGAGATGACTGATCTGACATTTGGTTAGCTTCTTCAAATTTTGATTTTAAATATTTTTTCATATGCTTGAAGTTTGGTGAGGGCCTAAAATTTATGGAGTCCTCATCATTGCGCGACTTTGCTTGAACTTCTGTAATAAAATACAAAAATAATTAATTAGGTACACAGAAATTAAATGGACATAATGATAATTAATTAGAGATGAACATTAACCACTTGACAGTCATTATATAAGTGTCTAATAAAATAGTCCAATAAAAAAGGACAGATACAATACATTGCATGCATTACAAAAACAAACAATTTTAACTAGATTCGGGTTGTGTTTTCTTTAGTTGGATCAAATATAAAAAAGACCTACCAATGAACAGAGTATATACTATTTACCTACAAATAACTGAATGAACAAAATTTACTAAACTAAAAAATTTTCACTGAGATATGTTAAAAGATGCCTTCATCTTTATCTTCATGTTAAGATATTTGCAAAAATGTGGTATAACTTTGAAACCATACAATTCCACTGAGCATAATTATATATTGGGTTCTTTAGGTAGGGATTGAACCCAGCTAGGAGGTTGTACTATTTATTGGACACCTGTTCAAGATACAATAGAAAATAATTTGTGCATACTGGTACACCACAAGTTAATGAAAACAATATTATAATCTCTAAAAATGAAAACAGATTATCTGATGTTGTATAAACTTCAAAATTATTAAAGATTGTTTATTATGAGTATATATTAGACATGACATTAAAAACAAAAGATAGGATACCCACTGACTAAGGTTTTAATTATAACAGACAAGTAAAACAATAGTAATAAAGTTAATTTCATTATATTTCATCAGTTCTGGTTTGTAAATGAACCATATAACAATTTTAACATTCTATTTAGGGTAATTTGAAACTAAACACGTCTCTCGTGGTCATTATTTAAACATTAGAATTGTTGTATAAATTGTACACGAAATACAATTAAATAAGTATAAACATGTTTGAAAGTACATAATAACAAGTTTTACTAAACATTAATACATTTATTATCATTCCAAAACCGTTTGCACAACTAAATAGAAAGTTATTATAACTCCTTACCTTCTTCTGCACCTTGCATTTCCTAGCCTACGCGTGTTATATATTTTTAAAAGTGCAATTAAAATGTACTGAATTATTTATATTGTAAACAATAGTTACATTAACTTTCACCACTTTGCGAAATGAGATTATTCAATCCGCCTTTACCGAACGAACACAAACGTCGTACACTATGTCGAAAAACATATGAATGTGACTGAACAAGATGGCCGCCTGTCAAAAATCGTCGTACGATTCGTAGTACGTAACTACGTAGTCAAAGATTCATTCCAGATATTGATTGTGATATGGTATGTTGATCGCACTCATGCGATACAGGCTCTTATACAAACTTTAACAAAAGTGATATACTTGGTACGCAATTAAATAAGTTTAAAAATTAAAAAAAAATATGAGATTTTTTAAGTTTGTAGTTTGTGGTAAAGTTTTTGTGGTTATTCATTTTGTTTATGGTGAATGTTCCAAAGTAGCCCGCGAAATTTAAATATTCTCGTATGTTGACTGCTCGATGTCGGGTAGTTTGACGATAATATATAATTATGTATGTATATTTTGTGGTAGTGAAATGTGAAATGTATGTGTTTTCACAACGATAGGTACTTGTTAAAACCATCTACATAACTCCGCTATTTAGTGAAGTTTTACCATGTACTGTTTCAGTAAAAACTTAACATCTGAACATACAAAATAAGATTATAATTAAGTATGATTACAGAGTTATGCTTATGCTTTTAACAAGAATAACTGCAAGGACCACCTAGAGGACACGGCGTGCGGAGCATACAGTGTGTGCCGTGCATAGGCAGTGCACCTTCGTTTCCTTAGGGATGTGGTCGGCGACAGCGACCTCTCGCGTGCCGCTCTCTTTCAGGCCGTAGTGCAGAGCGAGGGGGACTGGGATGCCACCTCTATCTTCTACAGATGCGGAAGGGTGCGTGAGGGCACGAACCTCCTCATGTCGCAGCTATCGCAGAAGAATCAGGAGATACTCCGGCGAACACTAGTAGGTTGCCGCCCGACCAGAACCAGACCCGAGTGTGCGGTGAGACCACCACAAACGAGGCCCAGTACTTATTATAAACGTACCCTCGACATGGGAGAAAATACCAGAGGGAGGCAAAGTTTTATAAAAAAAGTTCTCTCTTATAAAAATAAACTCTGTTCTAGTACTCGGATTTTTTGACGTTTTAAGTTCAAACTACTTTAAGTGTGGAAATCTGTTAATATTCCTGCTCTGTTTTTGGTTTTTAATTTTCGGGTCGATGATTTAGATTTAGGTACTAAACAGTTGTCCCGAAACCTGAATAAAGTGTTATGCTTTCTGCTTTGGAATTAACTACAACTAAACTATTAAATAAAAAGAAAGAAAAAAAAGAAAACAACAAAAATTATACCCTTAATTTAGGCGTCAAAATATTCGTCCGCATCACTATCACAGGGGAAAGTTCCCAGAAGACTGGCAATTATAGTTAATTTTAAGTTGTAAATATTTATGTAGTTATATAAATTATAATATCTTTGGAATCGTTATAACAATATTGCCAACTATTTTACTGTGTCCGGTCGAGTTATCGCAAGCGCAGAAGCGCCAACTAGTTCAAATTCAAACTCAAATATTTATTGCATTTTTGCATTTATAAATTGGATTGTTAATGCAAAACGAAAAAAAATTTACTTTGTGCTTTTTTTACGACTAGTAAAGACTAGTATTCAATATTGCTGATAATTATAAGTGTAATAAAAAATTAACAATAAGAGTACCTACTATACGTATAAAAGAAATGTACCTACAATTAAATCTTAAGCATGTACAATCTGGATTAAATGGACTAATATAGTTTATTTTTTGTTTTAATCAGAAAAAAAATTACGTGATATTTGCCGAGATCCTATCTCTCCAACGTAAGATTAGATGAGACTTGAGTCTACCCCCTCTCCCCCTTAAACACCTCACGTAATTTATGGACGCCCCCTTAGCTGTTTTAGCAATAATTATAAATATTAAGATATTCACAACCTACAATGATGAATGATTTTATTGAACACTTATGAAAAGCATTACAATAATTTGCTGTGAACGTTTCACTGCAATGCACTTTTTCACCAAGTAAAACGTACCAATCATGTCACCTAGACATCACTACATGCCATGCACGCTACATAATAAATTCAGGTGGAAGGGTGCAATAATATTTTATAAATTGGTTGTATATTTTTAATTTTAAATAACGTTGCCCTACACTAGGATTTTTTCCTGTGCCGAGGGTACCTTTACAAACATACATGATCACATACACATGACACCTAGACCCGGAACAACAATTTGTGGATCACACAGAGTTGCTCCGTGCGGGAATCGAACCCGCGACACGTTGCGCGGCAGCCGGTTGCCCAGCCACCGCACTAGCCGTGTTCTCAATATAAATAAACATTATTAATGACTGTTTTAATACGGAAAATAAATTACTTATATGACAAAACATAAATATCAACAAAAATGTCAAATTCAAAGAGACATGTACTCATATGGAGGATATAAATTTAAAGGGAGATTGCCCAGTGGGTAGGTATTAGTATCTACCCACCTGCCATTAAAAGATGTGTAAGTCTACCCATATATTTGCCGAGGTTCCGGCTCGACGAGCAGGAGTAGGAACGGAGCTCGCTTGTTTAATTAATTAACCCACATTACATTTTTTTACTATATCGTTTGTTGTTGGTATGTTGATGTTGAACATGTACCTAACTTCACATACATATCGCACCTAGGCTCGAAGCAGTAATTAGTGAACCACACCAAGAATTACTCCGTGCGTAAATCGAATAAGCACGTTGCACAGCAGCGATCATCCAATCATTACGCTAATCGCAATTGTACCTACAGCAAAATTGTCACTGCACCCGGAGCTGCGGACAACCAAACGGGTTACCGGGGCTTCGTCTCAACTCAACTCAGGAGGGGTATGACACTCTCTCTCACCGCACCTAAGGTGGGAGAGGGCATTGAATGATTTCATCCCTCTAAAAAGCTATTGTCACTGCGAGCTCATTTCTGTTCCTTTTGTAAATTCGTAGTGACTTTAATGTGCAGAACAATCAATATAACTACATTACAGTTACTAGTTTTAAATCCGCAATTTACATAAGGGTAGGGGTACCAAATAAATGGGCAGAGGAAGGAAATCCTTCCCCTACTCATTTTATCAATATAATCGTATAGGAACAAATAAGTGAATTACGATGATGACTGATAAGAATGATGTTTGAGCACGCAAATGAATAAAACAATAAAATAAAATGGAAAACTATAATAAAAAATTATACAATTCAATCCCTGTCTGTGCGTAAAACTCATTTTTTTCCATTACTGCAATGGAAATCGACTTACAAATATACCTAAATGAGCTCTCTCATTTTAACTATAACGAGTACCTAAGTACATGTACTTAGTATCATTATCAGACGAAAAACTCGACTAATAAAACATCAATCACAATTTCATAAGCACCACGTGTTATGGATGGATATTTAATTTTATACATAGACTTCGCCTCTCTTAGAGCTGCTGCGTTTTCGTGTAAACTCAGGTGGAGTGCCGGTGCTTGCGTTACTATGCTCACTGTCGCGATCCGAAGGAGGAAGCTCAGTGACTGTGGCCCGCGGCGAATGAGGAGATCCTCCGGAGCCATCGGCTGCACCACGCTCGGGGCGCGGACTCGACGGCGTGGAGCTAACCAAGCTTGTAAGCTGCGACACGCCCAGCGTAACGGGCGATGCAGCTATCATCGGCGCCATACCACCCGTCGTCAAAGAAGGCGATAACACCGCTTGTGCCAACGCTGTCGTTCCTGGCTGGCCAGCGTGTAATGTGTTGTTCACTGAACCACTGTCGAGTTCTTGAATAGGGGACAGAACAAGGGCACCAAGAACAGGCACCTCATTTTGGTAACCCTGGTGCGCCATAATAACGCCCATATTTTGCATACCCATTGCAATTCTATTTTCACGATCCATAACCTCTTTTGTAACGTCCGGTGTTGGTATGCGAGGCCGGTTTCTTAAAGTTATTGGAACAGCAGAACCATTGCTTTTTTGTCCACCTGAAACAAAAAATAATGTTCATGTAAATGGAGCACTTCACTTCACGTTTTAAGCAAAGTCTAAGTGAGTGGACGGGGACCAGGGATCACTGGAATATAAACATAATTACTGTATGCATTTGAAATTCATACCTAATTCATGGGTCCAATTAAATTTCTAACTCACATAGAGGTATGTATGATATAAATTACCCATCAACAGACTCATAAGAACACCTGTAGCTTTTACAAACTTACATTATTTTAAACATACACTTAGAAGGTACTATTAGGTAGTCCATAATTATGGTAGAACGTAACACAATTTCAATTACAATTTATCGCTAAATAACCATATTTAAGAATTAGCTATACTTATTAAATAAATCTACCTATAAACATAGTTTAACTAAAATATGTAGAGAATTTTACCATGTCTAGAGTTGGGTCTATGTTGGCCACGTCCAGATTTGCGTCCAACAAGGCGTTCATACAATGACATCTTGTGGTGAGGCGGCGGTGGCATCACTGGCTGACCAGCTTCAGGACTTGAGTACACGACTGAGTTATGCCTATTTCGGCCAAACAACCCACCCGAAGAGTAAGCCGTCGATGCAGACCTTACTGAACCCATTCGAGATATTTGTCTTTGGAACCAATTTTTCCTTCGCTCCACAAGGGGAGTATCTACACTTTCCTGCAAAAAAGAAACTCAAGTTAGTAAAACAAAAATTGTGTTAGATTTATCATAATAGGTATACTCATGTGTAGATTCATTACTCTCTATTGAAACACATTGCACAGTACAGCATCATCATTGTAAAGTACTACATGTATAGTCAAAGTCAAAATCATTTATTTCAATTAGACCTTCAAAGCACTTTTTAACGTCAACAACAAAAATTTAGAAGTGAAGCTAGTTGCTCATTCCAAGGTGTAGATTCCTCAAGAAACTCCATAGCTTACTCTTTTTCAATCAGATTTACAATACAATTCTCTAGTTACATAGTTTTATTGGTTCGATTGAGTGAGAACAATGCAACACCTAAATCCAGTCAAGGAGATTGAAAAAGAAAATAACTTTGAAGATAATAAAATCATACAGTCTGGAGCTGACCAGTCCCAATTGACGGCGCTCGTTCACGAACATTACACGTACCCCAGCACCGCCCAACTCAACCATTTTGTAGGGAATCGAGCGATCCAATGCACGTGCCACCGCCAATGAGATCTTTGAGGGAGCATGACAACTCCAAGCTGACATAAATGCATTCTACAAGTCTAATTTAATTTAATTAATTACAGGGCTCTCACATTTACAATAAATTGTGCAAAGTTTTTCACTACACAAATATTTAAGCAATATGATTATATTATTACGTAAATAGAATTCATCAGACATCACTGTGTTTCATGTATTATCCTGCGGAGCCGGACCAGCTTGCCTCCAAGCACTTTTATCCTCTATATAATCATTTAGTTTGTAGTACCTATGCTTGTCTACATAACGTTTTTTTTAATACGAAGTTTAAGTTTTCTTTCATTTAAATGCAGTATTTCTTGGGGGATTTTGTTATAACATTTAACACCGAATCCCATGAACGACTTATGTCCTTTTGACAATCTAAAAAGTACAGTAATTCCCAGGAAAATAGTCTCTTTTACAAATTCTAATTTCTCACTATTTAATATTATGTCACATTCGTTATTTTAACGTTTGGCAAAACAAAAATGCATTTTGTTTTTTTATCATTCAGCACTAAATTATTTATTGTGAACCAATTTGGAACCTCCATCAGAATACTATTTACATCGTCATAATTATTTGTCGTCTATTTATTTAAAAAATCAGTGATGTGTCAGTCAGTATCAGCAAATAATAAGGAATAAATTGAGCCCTGCGGTACACCCATAGATATGCTAGTACCCTGTGAGTTTACCTTGCACTCTAAGTTGCCTATCCCGAAGGTATGACTTTAATAGATTTAGCGATACCCCTCTAATGCCGTAGTATTCCAGCTTCAGCAAAAGCGTCTCGTGCTCAACACAGTCAAATGCCTTCGAAAGATCACAGATTATTCCAATTGCATCCTGTGCTTCTTCCCATGAGACAACAACACGTTTGGTGAACCCGTATTGTTGATCATGAAAGATAGAATTCATGTTAAAGTGGCGCAACATCTGAACAATCATCAGTTTTTTAACATTTTACTAAGTATGTAGATACTTATATGATACCAGTAGTGGTAAAATGGAAACCGGCGTATAGTTATTGGGTTCTGCGCTATCACTGGATTTAAACAATGGAACTACTTTGCTGTATTTCATTAAATCCGGAAAAACTCCTTGGTTTACGCTTTATTAAAAATGAAAGCTAAATGAGGCGCTATAGTCTCTTTAAAAGCCCTACACACCCTAAACGACATTCCCCAGAGATCTTCAGTCGACTTAACTTTAATATCTTAAAACGTTTTAATGACTGCTTAGGGTTTGTGTATTAAAACCGAAAAACTGAAGGGCATTCTTTAACATTACTTTTAAGAAGCTCGACTGAAAGAGTTGGAGATGATTTCAATATTTTATAGTTATAATTATAGTTATATGTATAGTGTATGGATGATGAGGTCGCAAGTCGTCAGTTGATTTGTCACAGTGTAATGAAGCGCACCAAGTGAAATGGAGGTTACATCTAAAATAACTCACGTAATCTGCATAAGTCTCATCATGACTTTTCCTAGGAGCTTGAACGTTTGCATAGACTGCATCTTCAGCCTTCACTTTGTAGTGGTCGGCTGAACAAGGTGGTTCATGCCTACGATAGTGTTCTGACGCCACAGTGTATGGCAAGTCCTTCGGGACGACCTCTTCCCAATATTGATCTTTCAGAAGTTCAGGATGTTCTTCATGCATCTCATCAACTATCATGTAGGCAGCCTGTAAATATAACCACGAAAACAATTTATTAAATATTTCAGGAATAAATGAGTTTCACATCATTTAATAGTGAAAAAGAAATTCTACACGCGGTATGTGCAGCTGATGGAACTATTTGAGGTTAGGGAAGTTAATATTTGGACTCGAAAAGAAAAATTGGATTCCAAATCTTGGATAGAAATCTTTTGCCAACATACCTTTATATGTCTGTCTATTAACCAGTTTAATTCAATATCATCGTCATCCTCACCGAAAGGATTTATCAGGACCTCGGCCACTTTTAGCCATCCAACGTAGAAGCAGAACTGGAAATAAAATGAAATTGATTTTAATTAGTGCATTAAAAAATTATATGGAATTTTTATCGAATTGTGTCTCAAGTCAAAAGGTCACTCAAATGCAATTTTGAACTCTATATTTTTTTTATGTCATAAACCGGTAAACGAGCAGACGGATCACCTGATAGTAAGCAATCGGCGTCGCCCATGGACACCTGGAACACCAGAGGCGTTACAAGTGCGTTACCGGCCTTTTGGGGAATCAAAGTTTGAGGATCGTTGGGGATTCAGGAATTGGGAGATTGGGGAAGGGGAGGGTAATTGGGCCTCCGGTAACCTCACTCACCCGACGAAACACAACGCAAGCGTTGCTTCACGTCGGTTTTCTGTGAGGCCGTGGTATCACTCCGGTCGAGCCGGCGCATTCGTGCCGAAGCATGGCTCTCCCCCCACACCCCACACATAACATTTATGTTTAGGTAAACAATCTTGGCTCAACTTTTAATACCTACTTTAATATAAAAAAAATATTTAACAAATTTAAACGCATGCGTACCTGTAGTGCAGTGAACAACGGGAAATAAACATCAGGCTCGTATTTGGAAGTGCTACCAGGGGCGGGTGGCACCAACTGACGGCCCATCAATGCTGCCACGAAGTACGTGTACAAAGCCAGTGTCACCACCTGAAAGATAATATACATTTTTAATTATAATTACTATAATCCTATTTAAAACCTTATTTTTAGACCTAAATTGTGAATAAATTATGAATAAATTATTCACAATTTATGTCAATTACGTGGTACATATCCCATTCTGCATGGCTAGTAATCCTACTAATCCTACTATGCTATTTAATATTATAAATGCGAAAGTTTGTGAGGATGTTTGTCTGCGTGTGTGTTAGTTACTCTTTCACGCAAAAAATACTGAAGGGATCGAGATGTAATTTGGAATATGGTCTGAACAACACATAGACTACTTTTTATTCGTCGCGGAGAACCTAACGGGTAACCGGGGCTCCGGCTCGACGTGCAAGAGAAGGAACGGGGTGGTTTTTAGTCAGTAAGAGTCTGACACTCGCTCCCGCCTCGCCCAGGCGGGAGCAGTCATTCGATGATTTTCCCCCCTTAAAAAAAAGACTACTTTTTATTCCAAGTGGAATGCGGACGAAACCGCTGGCAGAAGATAGTACTTATTATATACAAATACGAAAGTATTTCGTTAATGTGTGTGTGCGTGTGTGTGTGTGTGTGTGTATTTGTTACTCTTGCAAAAACTACGGAAGATATCGAGAAGAAATTTGGAAAAGGTAGATCTGGAATAACAAATAAGCTACAGGAGAAACCGCTGGCAAAAGCTAGTATTTAAAAATATGGGAAACTTATCTTTTAAAAAAAGAAAAAAAGCATAATTCGTCACAAGGGCATCCATTCACTGCAGCACTTATCATAGTTCTAGATCAAAGAGTTATATGTAACGTCCTTTACGTTAACGAGATAAAGGGTTTCAACAGACAGGTGGACAGCAAAGAAAGTTAAAGGGTTCCATTTTCTTTTTGTTTTCACGTCAGAACGCTATGAAATGGAAAGGAATCCATATGTCGTATAGTTTCGTCAAAAATCGGTACTGTACGTAGTTCCCTTAAAATTTCTGAACCTTTGTTCATAATTTGCATAATGAGGTGTCATTAGAAACTGCATGCCCTCTGGTTATAGGTTAAATTAAATTGTATAGGTACGCCCAAGGAGAGTAGATATATATTATTTTTTAATCAAGGACCGTTCATAGTCGTTTTTGGTATAAAACTAAACAAGCACAATTTAAAAATATTAATAGATAATGCCCAGGCAACTTTTAGTTATTTTCAATGAAAATGATGATTCTAAACCTGAATTTCTTATAGCCTATTCCGGTAAAACTATTGCTAACTATTTATGTTTTCTACATCCTATCCAACTAACATTAATTATTAACGCGAATGTTCATGAGGATGTATGCACGGATGTGTTTGTAACTCTTTCACGCTGAAACTACTGAAGGAAAAATAAATATAATTAAAAAATCTACCTACCAGGTACACAGATAGTATTTTCTTTTATTCTTTTAAAATAAAATGTCGCCCTATACTAGGATTTTCTCCTGAGTCGTGGGTATGTTTAGAAACATACAATTTCACATATACATGACACCCAGATCAATAATTTGTGGATCACACAAAGTGGTGCTCCGTGCAGGATTCGAACCCGCGACTCTTTGCGCGGCAGCCAATTGCCTAGCCACCGTACCAACCGTGCAGTCAGTTAAGTAATTTAACCCCCAAATTTGGAAATTAGTGGTTAATCAAAGGGATTTTAGCGCAACATGAGTGTCATTTATTAACGTTAATCCTTTACATCGGTATATTATACAAAGCAAGCTGCACCTGCGACCTCGATCGCATTTTTTAGATGACCTGTAAATACGCGACATAGATTTCGCGGTGCTCTTATCAAACCCATTGATGTTTATTGCGCATCACAATTGATTCTATAGTTACTAGCTTCTGCGTCGCTCACATTCTCCCGTAATAATAGGTAGACTTTTTTTATTATTTTTTAAGGGGGGAAAATCATTGAGTGACTTCTCCCGCCTGGGTGAGGCGGGAGGGAGTGTCAGAATCTTACTGACTAAAAACCACCCCGTTCCTTCTCCTGCACGTCGAGCCGGAGCCCCGGTAACCCGTTAGGTTCTCCGCGACTCCGAATCGGCATCGGCCCTGTTGGGCGGGGACCCCATCTGTAGTAATAATAGGTAGCCTATGTGTTATTCCTGAATGTCTAAATTTTATCCCGATCCTATCATCCGTTTTGATGTGATTGAGTAACAAACATACACACAAGATACTTGTATTGTATTCGAGGTGAGGGACTTCTGGACTTCTATGGGTGGATACTGGACACCCTCTGTGCTAACTGGGGGATATATAAGGACATAAATCAAGTAAGTTACTATAGTTTACCTAATACTGTTTATTAGAAAGTTGTTTTTTTTAAATTACGCGATGGTAATCCTCATGGACTACCCACGTCGTGGGGGCGACGGGGGGGAAGTTGTTGTGCCACAAGTCCTAAACAATAATTAATTAGGTATTACATCAGACCTAAATCAAATCTAATCTATACTTATAATAAATCTGTAGAGAGGTCAATTCTGTACATAAAATATATTTGAAAAATAACTATCAAGGGGTGGTTAGGGATCGCCACTGATGCCAAAAATGCAATCAGTAAAATTTTTGTCTGTCTGTCTGTCTGTCTGTATGTATGTTCGTTATGGAAACAAAAACTACTTGACGGATTTTAACAAAATTTAGCACAATTATTCTTCATACTCTTGGGCAGGTTATAGTATACTTTTCATTACGCTACGATCAATAGGAGCAGAGCAGTGAAGGGAAATATTGGGAAAACGGGAGAAGTTACTCCATTTTTTAAGCTTCCGTCGCGTGTGCAGGCTTATAGGTTAAAGCTACATAGAAATCATGTATGACGGAAATATTCTCCTTAAAATTATATAAAAAAAAATATTCGTCGACAGCATATGTCTATCTTTTATGGTTGACCCACAATAACACGTGAAACTCCCGATAGCTTAGCAATTTGGTGATTTCTGATTGTATTTGTCTACTCTAACGTTTACAATACTCATTCATAGACTTTACGCTGTAACCGAAACACCAATGGTTGAAATTAGCTTGACTCGATATTATAAATGAAAATATGTGAGTTTATGTGTATGTTTGTTACTCAGTCATATTAAAACGACTGAAGGGACCGGAATGAAATTCGGAACAGAGGTAGATTATGGTCTGAAGTGATACATAGGCATTTTACCCCTGGGATCGCGGGCGAAGCCGCTGGCAAAAGCTAGTACATAATATCCTTATATCTTTTTTGTTTTTTTTGATGTCTTGGTTCGGGCGAGCCCATAGCTGGGCAGCTATTGACAGAGTGTGGGATTTGTACCTTACTAAAACCACCCTGATGGCCACCCTCAGCACCTGTAAGGAGGCACCGGGTCCTCTGAAGAGACCTGCTCCGGAGCCCCCTCGGTGCAACGGCTGTTACAGCACATCCCTAGGGAGACGTGCGTGTCTCTTGACCATGACTTTGCACGGCACGTGACCATTGTGCTACCGTCTTCTCTGAGGCTTTTGGAGGCACCTACAGTCCCCACTCTATGCAACCGTGGCCCCATTATATGTACTACCTACATTCCGTTTACACTTAGCAATGACGATTATCATTTCGTTGCTCACCAGACAGCGCTAAAGTAGTGAGAGGTCTATTTGTCCTGTGTGTCTCTATAAGCGTTGACAGTAGGTATTAGTATTATTATTAGGTAGAATGTTACTAAGATGAGATCACATATAGCTCGCACTATCAAAAATTGATCAGATCACATGTACGTTGCCAGATGGAGTTTGTGTTTCAATCTTGCTAACAAAATTGCTGTAGAACTCTGTGAGATTACTCGTATGCATAGATAATTTATTATGCCAGGTTTTATCATCGGAAGGAATTAACTTGGACACATGGCAAGTCATATCCATCGTCACGTCTTATTTTGCCACAGGTATTTAAACATTAATTCACTAGTATACGTAAGTGACGCCCACACATGTAAGTCGTAAGTACACATGTATAATGTTTCGCGACAACATGTCCGTTCAGATGAGTAGACGCGCTCGAATCCACCTACAATAGCTATTGTTTATTTAATGCATTATTGCTTCGACTTTGACACATTTTGTGTATATAATTATACTTTCTGAGAATGTTTCTGCGGTTACAAAGTAGCCTAGATAATAAAGATTAAACTAGTTTTATTTAAGTGCCTATTTTCTTAAAATAAATATATTATGTAAATAAGATTCACTAACCTGCGTGTATACCAGGGGTACACAGACTGTGTCGTATCCTATGAGCGCTCCCAGTCGCCTTCTAATATCGGACAATTCAACTAGCAGCGTTTGAACAATGTGGTCACTTGTTATCAAGCCTTCTTTTCTCGCCCTATTTATTATATTTGTCGCCCAAACCAGCGGCATCCAATATTTTGACATTGGACTCTTTCCATCCATTTTTTCAAAAACCTTCCTCTCACTCTCCAACATAAGACCTGAAAGATAGGAAACATTCATTTCGGAATTTGACAGGGACAACTTGGATCTCAAAGTGTCCTTTGAACTTACCAGAGTCTACGACATGTTGCCACGTTGGAAACCTTCGCTTTACCCTTAGGGATACCCTTTGAAGAGTTATGACGTAAGCTAAGATGGCGTATCTTACAATATTTCTTCTCATTAATCGACCCGTCTCGTCCTGAAACAAAAAACGACCTTCTATATTAATTGCTCATTGCGTCAAAACTTGAAGAAGACGCACAGCCACAGCACAGCAATTCATTATTTAATAAGTAGGTACTCCTGCGTTTTATATATTTAAGTATGAATTTGAAACTATTTTTATGTAGTTTAGTTACTATTAGATTAAAGAAAACAAGAAAGAAACAAGCTTTTAACTCATTGTAGATAGGTTTTATAAAATCTTCTGTTTAATATCAACATAGAAAACAAAGTAATACGAGATTAGCCGTACATTGCACTGAGTACGTGAAACATATTACAGCTGAAACAATGCGAACCAAGGACGAATTACATCTTGGTCATTTGCAATTCTTTCCGAAGTCGTCATGTGTTTAATAAACTGCATTAGGCGCGTCACTTCGCGACCACAGAACAGTGAGAACGAAAGGAAAATCATGTGCTCAGTACTTATCGCGTATTAATAATACTTTCTTTCTAAATTATTATCATCAATATCGTGTGGTGTACCATAGAGATAAGTTGCAAAATTAAAAACGAACAACATCTACGTTACACTTTGTTTACAAGCGACATTAATAAAATGTTAACTATAAAATACTAAAACGGTATTATTATGTTTTAATCGAACAAAAGTGTCTACTTTTCCTAATCGGTAACCAATATTGTGATTGCACCTAATTGCGCTACAAAATTTCACGCACGTTTGCAACAACGAGTCAATCGGGCGGTAAATAAAATATTAGATATAACTTACAAAACAAACGATTACTTCAAAACAATGAAATCATAAAAACCAAAGCATATTTAAATCACGTTCGTTTCTGTCTAATACTGTTATCAAATGGAGTATCTACAAATTGTGGTAACAAACACAACAACCAATAACTTTTAGTGTATGTGTGTAGCGGAGGCATAACAAATCCTTTCTACGATGCTTTATCGTCTATCATGCATTCGTTGCGGCATTGCATGGCATGTGCACGTACACTCGCGTAAGGCTTGTAGGCTGTCGACTTATAAAATAGCATTTATTTATATGGGTGATGCTAATAGTAATTCTGCCAATCAAAACCATAATAGTTTGAACGAAGACGATGATTTATTATCAATAGTGTCTGTAGCTACAACATGTTAATTATTACTACCTAAGAAACAATGTTAATTATAATCTAACATAACCAAGTATTTATCTTTTTGAAAAGTGTACATAACGTAATCAAGTCAAATTACATAAACAAGTCAGTCAGTATCCGAATATTTCGAAACATTGCTGGACGAGGTGACATCACGCGGTATTGTATTGAAAACATGTGAAAAGCGATTTTAAAACAATATGACGATGTGAGCAACCTGCCTGGAGAGCGTGAACATAAATGTGTTCGGAATAAAATAAAATAATATAACTTAGGTCAAAGTATGCATGAAATCCAACTAGCCCCAGGTATAAGGTCACCCTTTTTTTTTTAAGGGGAGAAAATCATCGAATGACTGCTCCCGCCTGGGTGAGGCGGGAGGAAGTGTCAGACTCTTACTGACTAAAAACCACCCCATTCCTTCTCCTGCACGTCGAGCCCGAGCCCGATAACCCGTTAGATTCTCCGCGACTCCGAATCGGCATCGGCCCTGCTGGGCCCCATCTGTGGTATTCTGATGGTTCTTTGGTATTCTAGTTACACCATTTGTTTCCCAAACAGTAGTAGGAACAAGAACAGATAGTAGGTTCACAACACCCATTTTTCTCTAGTTGTTTTTACTCTCATGTACTATAGAGAGGGCGAAACTGTAGCCCATGCTATTGGACGGATTCCAGTCTCGGGGTTATTCCTGAGAACTTTACAAAAACAGAAATCCTCAACTCTCGACGTAGATTTACTATCTATTCGTTCAATAGGTATAATCTACGCTAAATGTAATTAAAATTTTCGTTCAAAATCAAGGTCGATCTACATATTTTAACACGTTAAACGCCATGGGGGTCACCGGTGACCGACGTTAGCGGAGGATTTACCTTCAACTGTTTTTAATTGGCAGTCAAAGGCTTAATGATCAAGTTATTGAAATCGGCAATCAATTAAAACAGTAGTACCGTATGGTTGGTGATGAACTAATTGCAAATATAATACATTTCATTTCCGGGAATAGGTTAGTAGGTACCTTTAGACGTAACTGTCTAAACTAAAAATTAAACTCATACACAAACAATTTAACAATCATTTATCAATAATACCTATGTTACGTGGTGCGGCGCGGCGTGCAATATGTAGGTTTCGTTATGAAACAAACAATAATAGCTGCGGCATACCTTTGGCTCAATGACGTTCTACTAAAATAAGTCTTCTGTACCTACTAGTAATATTTGCTAATGTTTTTCAAAGATATCATTGATATACAAAATAATGATAAATGTTTTTAAAAGTTATCATTAATTTTGACATTACATTAATTATCAAACAAAATGCACTTCCTCTCTTAAACCAATTTTAAATCTTGCTGTGCCTGACAGGGTGTGTAACTGTTACTATTGCATTTTCTAACCACCTGTATGAGTACCTTATGGATGCGATAAATACTTGATTAGGTACTTGAATACTTTGATAAATTTCAGAACCACGTGACGAGTTCAAATGCTTTGTATCATTGCCTAATACCATGAAAAGTATGAAGAGTTTAACAGTATCTCCTGCCTAACCCAGAGCGGGAGAACCCATTTGATGATAAAGTTTTACTAATATCATTGTCCTGTAATTGCACTAAAAACGTAAAATTAAAAAAATCTAAGTATTTCGATCAAACGTTAGATTCACTAAGTATCGAATGGTACTAAAATGTAGTAGGTACCTGTGCGGCTGTCGTCTGATGTGAGCTATGCACCAAACCACTGAACGTGGTATTCCAAGATTTCTACTAGAAATCAATAGTGGAATAATTTTTTGTTTAGATTTTCTTGTATCGTGGTGGCATATAATACAAAGAAGTAGGTACACTGTACCTACCTATAAAGTTAGGAACATTTCAACATCTAATAGGACTGCTTTGACGGTGCAGCAACTCATACATACATAAAAAACTCGGATAAAGAAAAAAATAAAAAAATTCCTCGACATTGTAGAAAATTGTTCTGAAACTAGAATGATGTGCGCTCGACGTAGACACAGGCAACGCAATATAAAGGCTGCAGCCTCACGATTGAATTGTCTTTTTCATTGCCTTTTTGTTAGTGACGGATGTTTGGTACCTGAGATTCATTGTTCCTTTTTGCGCCATGAAAATGCCTCACCGTCCATTTGTATGAACTACGCTTCACAATGTCATAACCTTTGTATTGTTTCTACAAACTTCTATCAATTAAAATAAATAGGTGTATTCATCATAACTGCTGAAACTTAATAATTATACTTTTCGGTTTACTCACGTAATTATTTGACGAGGAACTCGACTAGTTTCAAGCCATGCTAGAGGATTATATTCGTGAGCAGCTGAAACTTGCTCATTATTCTCAAATATGAATTGATTGATCAAACATTGTAGTAATAAATCAATTACGTTAATTTTAAAATTATGTATTTACATCAATTAAAATAGTATAACATTACAGTCATAAAACCAAGGCCTTATACATTTCAAATAATGGATTATTGTGGATGTTATGGCCAAACATAAATTGATTTCATCAATACTTGGCTGAACCTCTTATGAAATACCTCTTATAAAAGACATGATTGTGAACTATCTTAGGGAATTACACCACACCACGAACCTTTAGTCCATGCATAAAGGAAAACAAAAAACATACTCCAAGATTAAACTATGCCACGGAAAATCCTAACAAGTCAGTTCTCAAATAACTGCAGGTCGTTCGGCCTTATTAAAATGTATTATTATGAGAGACAATAGAAACAGATTGTAATCAAATAATGAACTCAGGGACAGAGTAGACATGCCGTGTCGTGCCGAAGCTAATTTTACACTTTTCATTATTATTTTTTGAGCACTACAGAGGTCTTCCTTGCTCCTCTGAGCCCGGTAGAGCTTCACCTTTAATCACAAAACTTTACTAGACAGGCTTTTAGTTTCTATTTTTCCATATCACATACAAGATTCTTTGTTCTGGAACTACACTTGAGAGCAAAAGAACGGAACGCTAGCGTTGTTTCCTTTTAATTTCTTGATAAATATTATCTGATTCAAGTATTTCATTAATTGGTAACATATGGGCTGCCTCGTTGGCTGAGTGGTCGCAAGTGCGACTGCCGGGTAAGGGGTCTCGGGTTCGATTCCCGGGTCGGGCAAAGTATAATTAGATTTTTTTAAATTCTCGGTCGTAGCACGGAGTCTGGAATTGAGCCCGGTATATGGCAATAGGCTCACCCCCTATTAGATGGGACTCATAAAATAAATAGTGAAAAGTGGGTGTTACATATTGTACGGTCGCATAATGTGCACCTATGCCTACCCCTCGGGGAATAAAAGGCGTGATATTATGTTATGTTATGCCATGATAACATATGTCGTAAAAGGCAATTTAGCTACCTTTAAAATGAGAGCATTTTATTGTAATTGGAATATTTTATTTAAAAATTATAGATGTTTCGATAAAATGAAAAAAATCGTGGCAACTAGTGGTTTCGTTACTTTGCTCCTAAGTGTAGCTAAAACGAATGTGGGTGTATTATATTTAGACTATAGCTATGCCCTAAAGGTATCGTGGGCTACCATTAGTCCATTAAGGCAAGTGTCATATTTCAAAAATATGTTATTTATCTCAAATAACAAAGGCGTAGGGTGAAATTCTAACCATGAAAACAAAGAAATTCTAAATAAAGAATCCTAATAATAGTGAATCAATATCTTTTGCGCGTCACTAGCTTTTCTACTGACAGACTGGCGGGGCTTAGGCGGGAGACTGCTGTCTTTAAATAAAACCTACCATACCATTGTTAAACTATAAAGTTTCAATCTATACTTATAATTTTTTTTTTTTTTTTTTAAGGGGGGAAAATCATCGAATGACTGCTCCCGCCTGGGTGAGGCGGAAGGGAGTGTCAGACTCTTACTGACTAAAAACCACCCCGTTCCTTCTCCTGCACGTCGAGCCGGAGCCCCGGTTACCCGTTAGGTTCTCCGCGACTCCGAATCGGCATCGGCCCTATTGGGCCCCATCTGTGGTGGTCTGATGGCTCTTTGAGGCGCGCGCGGAACGCGACGCGCCGTACGCTCGGGTCTGTTTCTGGTCGGACGGGGAGCCACCCATGCTCGCCGTCCGCAGGCCCGCGCTTACGGTGGCCGGAGATCGTCTCGCGATCCCCGACGCCCGGTGTGTCCTTCGCGATGGCTGGGTTGCGAGGAGGCAGCGCTTCGCTGCCTCACGCGTCCCGCCTCCTCCTTAGCTAGCATATCTATACTTATAATAAATCTGTAGAGAGGTCAACTCTGTACATAAAATATATTTAAAAAATAACTATCAAGGGGTGGTTAGGGATCGCTACTGATGCCAAAAATGCAATCAGTAAAATTTTTGTCTGTCTGTCTGTCTGTCTGTATGTTCGTTATGGAAACAAAAACTAGTCGATGGATTTTAACGAAATTTGGCACAATTATTCTTCATACTCTTGGGCAGGTTATAGTATACTTTTCATTAAGCTACCATCAATAGGAGCAGAGCAGTGAAGGGAAATATTGGGAAAACGGGAGAAGTTACTCCATTTTTTAAGCTTCCGTCACGTGTGCTGGCTTATAGGTTAAAGCTATATATAAATCATGTATAACGGAAATATTCTCCTTAAAATTATATAAAAAATATTCCTGGACAGCATACGTCTATCTTTTATGGTTGAATCACAATAACACGTGAAACTCCCGATAGCTTAGCAATTCGGTGATTTCTGATTGTATTTGTCTACTCTAACGTTTACAATACTCATTCATAGACTTTACGCTGTAACTGAAAGGCCAATGGTTGAAATTAGCTTGACTCGATATTATAAATGAAAATATGTGAGTTCATGTGTTTGTTTGTTACTCAGTCATATTAAAACGACTGAAGGGACCGGAATGCAATTCGGAACAGAGGTAGATTATGGTCTGAAGTGATACATAGGCATTTTACCCCTGGGACCGCGGGCGAAGCCGCTGGCAGAAGCTAGTGTTAAAATAAAATTAATAAAAGTTAACAGGGAATGATAGGAATTTTTGAGAGATCGGAATAATATTTGACATAGATTTTTTTTATTGACTGCCTCGTTGACCGAGTGGTCGCAAGTGTGACTGCCGGGCAAGAGATTCGATTCCCCGGTCGTGCAAAGTACTACTCAGTTTTTAAAAAATCAGTAATAGTACGGAGTCTGGTATCGTGCCCGGTATATGGTAATAGGCTCACTCCCTATTACATGGAACTCATAACTACAATAGCGAGGGTGTTACATTGTACAGTGGCATTAAGTGCCTTAATGTGCACCTCTGCAGTCTGCCTACCCCTTCGAGGATAAATAGGTGTGATGTTATGTTGATTTTATTAGTTAACCAATGCACGTAATCATAAAATACATGTTTGGCAGTAAAGTGGGTAAATCGGTACTTTTTAATTAACACTAAGTTGGCTACTATATACCTATACGGTATTTTTTTAGGGGGCGAAAATCATCGAATGTCTGCTCCCCCCTGGGTGAGGCGAGAGGGAGTGTTACACTCTTACTGACAAAGTACACCCCGTTCTTACTCCTGCTCTTAGAGCCGGAGCCCCGGCAACCAGTTTATTAAGTACCTATACGGTGTAGAAGGTACACCATACGTTTTGTACCTACCTCAAACGAAAGTTAATCGAAAATAATATGACGCACAAACATCGTCAACATAATATATTATACGCATAAACGTAATAGGATTTTATGAATATTCATTAAATAGGTGAAACTTTGCGAAGAAGGAAACCATTAAATTTTTTATAACTATTTTTGTAGCATATTTATAGTCTAGTCAAGATGGTTTCGAAATATGTATGTACACACGGCTACACATCGAGCTTTACATAACCAGTATAAACTGAACGTTAAATGTGCGGGAAGATGATGCGACGCGACACCAAGATAAACTGGTTTTGTATAGATTGATGTGTGGCTGTGTGTACCTAAAATAACATTTAAACATTGATTACAGATTTATAAAATGTCTAACTATATTATTAACCGGCTGACGTCTTTTTTTTTAAGGGGGGGAAATCATCGAATGACTGCTCCCGCCTGGGTGAGGCGGGAAGGAGTGTCAGACTCTTACTGACTAAAAACCACCCCGTTCCTACTTTTGCACTTCGAGTCGAAGCCCCGGTAACCCGTTAGGTTCTCCGCGACAACCAGCTGACGTCTAAGGTTTCTATCTACGTATGATGTAAGTTTGTAATACTAACACCAACTTAACAATACGACATCTCACCGTTATGTTATGGAAAATAAATAGATTTACGTGAAAAATATATTTTCTGGTTATTTAAATAACAGTAAAAATATGCCGTCGAGTAAATAATGGCTTGTTGTGTAAAATGTCCTCGCTTGAGAAATATCTTTTTGTCCTGAACACAATACGCATTAGCTATAGGCTTTATGCTACGACGAACTAATCACATAACATAACATAACTTCATACCTTTCATCCCCAATGGGGTAGGCAGAGGTGCACATTACGGCACTTAATGCAATTGTAGAATGTAACACCCACTTTTTACTATTTAATGTTATGAGTCCCATGTAATAGGGGGTAAACCTATTGCCATATACCGGGCACGTTTCCAGACTCCTGGCTACTACTGATATTTTTTGAAAAAACCCTATACCTAATACTTTCCAACGAGGCAGTCGTCGTATCGTAGTTCTAACCACAATAAGAGATCAATGTTGTTACCACTTTGCCATATATTTGTCAGTAACGATTAAAAATATCTATTACGTGTGTACAAAGCCTAACAACAGTGCATGTAGCATTGTGGTCAAGGTTAAAACATTAGCGAATAAATATATAGGCACGAACCTTCATTGCTAAGTAACCAATTAAAATGCTTCATCGATAAAAAAGAACAATCGCAAATTAATAAGTACCACCGACGACAATATAATGACTGTCAAACGAGCACGTCGTTAAGGCAGAGGAATTGGGTACCTATACCTATAATCATTAATAATATGATTGATTAATAGTTGGCAATCGTTGATGTTTTCATTAATTCGAACAAAGTTTACCGTAGTCCGTACTCAATTAAAGAAACATCTAAATAACTACAAACTAATTGCGAAGTTGTCAACTTTTATGGTTTTCTTTAAGGAAAATGTCAAACAGCCTTTTTGATAAGCACTTAGCGAGCTCAGCATGATTTATGATTACATACATAAAGCGACTACCCGTGCGTCAACATAAACAGTACCGACAAAACGAACTCATTCATTGCAACAATAACAACATTACAACATCACAATATAAAAACATTAATTAACTCCATCGTTAACTAGCATACATTACCTTGTAGTAGCTTCCCGATTGTTTTCAATTTGCTGGGAAAATCTGCTTATTGTTGCCACCTAAAATAACAACTGGAAGACTTCAAACAGTTCTCATTGTGGAATTCGCAAGGCATTACAATATTTTGGACACGCAATGCATAATAAATGTCAGGTATACATGAACGTCGCATATTGTTTATCATTGTGAGTTAAAGATTGTATACTTTTAAAGTTAGCGACGAAATGAAACTGTTATCATGCTAGTAATAGTCCGTGGTTACGGAGCTCGCGAAACTGTACTTAATCAATGTTTCAACATCGCAAATTGTATGAGGAAACGAAACGTCTGACTCAGAGTGCTAGAGTGCGAGGTACTCTGCACTGCTGCACAATTTCTACCACAAACATCGCGTTGGAAATAACGAAATATTAATTTTTCCTTTTGCGTATGTTTTTGTTTAATGGGCAATAAATACATAACCTATTATCGACATGTAAAGCACAATATCATTGGTTATTCACGCGAATGCATTAATATAAAATGGTTAAGTATGTTTGTAATTATGTATAAATAATGTGTAATAACAAAACATATAATTACTGAATAGTCAATAGATGGCGAACGATTCATTCGAACCACTGCATCGCTTTGCATAACATCACAAAATATACTAAATCAAAATCCAACTGGTCGCGTTGTCAAAATTTTGTTGAACAATATTTGTTACAGAAACCTAACATTCACGCATGTTATCAAATTCTAGTTACGTAAAACCCGTATGCAGAAATTCGCTTTTATTGCAACTCTCAGTCGCAATGTAGGTAGGAAATATTCATTTCGCTGAGGCAGAAAAGAGTAGAAATCATTTCGAAAGGTCGAGAATTATAGAGAAGAGAAGAGAAGATAGTTAAATAAAATGAATACTTGTCTTTACTTTACTAACCGCTCCAGGTATTCCCGCCGATATGAATAGGGCGAGGGTGTCGGGCCACGGCAGCAACTTGTACTGTTCCCACCACCTCTTCACCACCAGGCTCACGTAGAACCCCAGCACAAATGACATGGGGATCGACTCGCTTTGTGCACCGAAGTACTGACGTACTTTCTCGAATATCCTGTTGGACAAAAGAATATTTAAAGATTTTTTATGAAACGTATCCCTAATGCGGATCACCGTCAGCATCTTGACCTCCCTACTACAGATCAGACCAGTTTTTCTTGTATTGAAACCAAAGTGATCCGATTGGTTTATAAGTCCACTAGTTTACAATTTTGACGTAATTTATTCTTTGATGTTAGGATGACGCAATGATATAAAAAATACTATCAATATTAAATAAAAAAAATCTTGATTAAAGTAATTATTCTAGCAATTATCGTCGAATTTTAACGGCGCAGTGACCCCGTCAAAGGCCTTCAAGAGTTTTACGATAGTATGCGGATTTAATAAGAATGATTGAAGGTTGACAAACAATAATAAATAATAGACGGAAATACACACTCCTTTAAAGATTATCCGCTTACAGAAACTTGGATTACGCAGCTTAAAATATTATGAAGGTGGATACAACTACAAACTACAGACGTAAGATGTAACTGACTGAACAGCACGTGAGGCGAGCTCCTGATCAAGATACTAGTACAAATTGTATGGAACGATCTTACGGGTGCTCAACCAAGCTTGTACTAAATAATTACAGTCACGTGTGTGTTCCTTAAGCAAGTACATACATGGAAATATAGCTTAGGTACGCTTTGGAGTTTATGTACATCCATAGGTATGATTAGATTACTAACTTAATATTACAATTAGGTAAATATCTCCTTCGTGGTTAGTCAGTTCTAAGTTCTACGTAACACGTTTAACCTATTGTTTGCCAGAACGTAGCTCTAACCGAGAAACAAAGTATTTTCTATTGTGTGATTTTCATAACGATATGACTTTCGTCAAGGCACATAATTATAGAACTAGTGGGTGTTAAGGAAAATGTTTCACCTTGCATCAATAAAACGATATCACGTTGCATAGACATCGAACAATGTAATGCCTGATTTTACGTCATAGTTATAATCCATTTATGTAGGTACCTAGGTAGGTAGGTACTAGGTAGGTACCTACCAACGTAAAATTGGGATTCATGACAACAGTGGAAGAAGTGCTGATTATGAGATGTAAAATGTTGGTTATCCTTATCTAATTCTAACGTGTTATAGAAGCCGCTAGCAGAAGCAAGTTAATAATAATGCACAAATGTTAAATTGATAACATTTATTATACACCTCACTTATTGTATCTGTTTCAAGTTTAGGTAGGAGCTTTTGTTTATAATAAATTAAACCTTATTTTTGTCGAATTATAATTAATTACATCAGACATATTGAGTAATGGTGCTAATATTTTATAAAAATATGTTTATCTTGTTATTTCCTTATCCATCACGACCAGGATTGCAGGAAAATGTGGTGACTAACAGACAATTATTATTTACTCTATAATTAACATGTTATACGGCAAGTTAGCTTAATATTACCTGACTATGTAATATTTACACAACTCAAGTACACAAACAAATAATGATCGCTGAGACACGTCCTCGGATTACCACCAGGATTGAATTTATCGATTAAGAGGACCAAACACAATTACACGAGCACTATATTTGCTGACGCTGTGAACATGAGCCACAGTTTGTTGTTAGTACATAGTGTCTATTCCTTTTTCGTTTTCAGGGATTAACATTATGTTATTTCGAGCAGTACTGATAAGAACGATATAAAAGAAAAAGTGGAGACCTTTAAAAATAGAATTGGGTGAACTTTGAAGACATGATATTCTACTTAATCAACAAACATAAAGTATAGCAGAATGATAAGTGTGCTCACGTCAAATGCAAAAATAATTAGCAATATCGAATATGTTTAGAAGAGTTTCACTATATGTTTTCTCAGGATTAACATACTTAACTTAGCAGACGCAGCAGTAAGCAAAATATAGAAATATATTTTAATTTTAAATACTTAATCACAGATCCGCATCATGGTAATATTTTAATATTAATAACAGTATTTTATTACAGTATCTGCTAATCGAATTTCTAAGCTATAAAGCCTACAAGATATCCACTCGATATATTAACATTGTTGGTAGAACATCCTTGAGAACCAGTTTGACTACTATGACATTAATATTTCATTATAATACTTGTACGAAAGTTAGCATTGACAAATAATATGACGAGTTGATCTGGAGAAAATTAATAATTACGGAACAACGTTAGACAGCGACTACAAATTAATAAGTATAAGTCTTAGGGCCCATGCCGCCACGGTATGGCCTGTACTTCTTTCTTTTTATAGTAATTAAAAGTGACTAATCTACAACGTACAAGTTCTTAGCTGTGATCAAAGCCGTACAGCGGCTGCGCGATCTGTTTCTATGGCATATAAACGCGTCGCTTTAGATCTTGTGGCCTTATGACAACGACAGAGAAGAAACAGTCAGTTATGGTCGAAATTATTCAATTCTCGGTTCTGAATTCAAAGTCTTTTCGTATTAGTTGGATTGAGTTTCTTTCAAAAATCCAGATCGATCCAGATGGATTAAGATCGGTACCTAATTTCGGCCATTAGGGAACTATACATTTGACTTAGACGGGGAAGCAATACTCCATGATAAACCTGAAAGCTATGATATGTTGACAAGCGCTCATTTAACAAGCGGCCTAGTGGACTGACACTGTTGATGCATAGATAGACAAAACATAACATCACGCCTTTTATCCCCGAAGGGGTAGGCATTATGAGTGTATTGTAGAGGTGCACATTATGCCACTGTACAATGTAACACCCACTTTTCACTATTTATGTTATGAGTCCCATGTAATAGGGGGTGAGCCTATTGCCATATACCGTGCACAATTCCAGACTCCGTGCTACTACGGAATTTTTTTTAAAAACCCAGTAATACTTTGCCCGACCCGGGAATCGAACCCGAGACCCCTTACCCGGCAGTCGCACTTGCGACCACTCGGCCAACGAGGCAGTCAATGTAGATCATATTATTTATGATAGCCAATATTATTTATTATGTAGATCATCCATAACATCTATTCTAATTATGATTTCTACCACAGCCATGAGTTTATGATACGTTTTATTGGCAACTCCCTGCGGTAAGCCAAAATTGCAATATTCACTCATATTCTAGGTTTGTATTACCAAGTGGTGCAAAAATTGTCTGTTATGGAAATCGAATCGAAAACAATTTTCAAACTACTTCTGCCTAACGTTTGTACCTGGATACGTAAACTAAATGCTGAACAACCGATTTCCAACCTATTAGTAGTGATAGGAATAACAGTTATTATATTTCATTATGCATTTTTATAATCTTTCCAGTCGGCTATTAAGCTTCATTTAGTTTGAGTCAAAAAACGGAAAGTCGACGAACAGTTGAGTAGAAACATAAAATGAGGTTATAGGAAGTAAAAGCAATCAATTAATTCTGGTTTTGCATATAGTCACACACGTCGGATATTAATGATATCTCCAATATAAACCCTGTAGATATAGATAATCCGATGGCCTATCAATTAGTACTAAAAGCCGATGGATGATAATGAAATTGCGGTTATACAGGCTACGTACGTGTTCATAACTTTATAGGTACATAGGAACTTAAAAATATGAGAATTTTATGTATAGATACGTTAAAAAAATTAGAATTATTCGACAACGATAGACTCGCGTGGTGGCCCGGAGGTCTAAGACGCCTGCTTCTAATGCATGAGGGCGCGGTTTCCAAACCCTTAAACAAATACTTTCCAAGATCATTTAGAAGCCACTGACAATCGGTGAGGGAAAACATTGTGAGGGAACCTGGGCTTATAATTTCCAATTATGAGCTTGCAATTCCAACCCGAATTAAGAAAGCGTGGTGATTAATGCTTAAACTATTTCCAAGCGAGGAAATAAAGAAGACCTAGTATTTTTCATATTTATGTAGGTACTAGGTACCTATGTCTCATCTTATGCATTACTAAGTATCATGCAGATTGTTGCAACACATTTATAAGTACTTACATTACATTGAATAAACCTCGTTACTGACCTTAAAAAACTTTAATTTTAATACAGAACTCGTGACTCAAGAGTAAAATGTTATCCAATGGTTGATCTCAGAAATATATACAACAGCACGGAATAAGTTGTATATAGACAATATTTAAATATCTAGGTTCTTAAATAGGTGTCTAAGAATAAAAGTACCCTAATAATTACACCCTTTATCTATATAGTAACATAACATAAACGAATCACCTTATAACTACGTAGGAAGGTTGATATAATAATTTTATTCAAACACTAATATGACAAAACTGCTATAGCTCTCGTTTCCAGAATCTTCAGTTTTAACCTGGATATATTCTTCTTAATTGATACATAACAAAAGCATATCAACAAAGAAACCATATTAAAAACTAAATAAAACCACTATTATGATAACCTCATTACTTCTTTAACCATGATCATTAGTTTAAACTTATTAAGTGGACCTCTTTGCAAACATTCAATTGCTTATGTTCATTCAGTAGCTGGTAATTTTAGCCGACCTTGATTTAAGATGCACTGCGGAAATTATTATTAAGTAAGCATAATTGTATGTTTAATGACGACAACAATACTGTGTTTTGTTCAAAGTATGTAAATGCATTTGATCAATTATCTTTGACCCCAGGCGAGTTGTGACTTAGGTATACTAAAATATCTCAATTGAAAATTACCGATAACATTTTTTTTTGTAAAATATTTTCGTTTTGAAACATGCACACAATACTTAGAAACCACTTAACCACTTGAATACTGGTATAAGTGTAAGCCACAATACAAAATACATTGTGTCATGCGTGGATCTTCGTTTAGGCTCACGACGGCTTAAGATTGAAAAACAAACTATGAAAATATTATTTTTGGTAATCCAAATAGAGCACTAACCTTTCTTTTGCGCAAGTGTTGAGGTGGATTTGTAAAATAAGGTAGATCATAGAAGAAGGTATATTTCCAGTGTAAGGGCTCGTACACAAAACTGCGTTGCGACGTCGCGTTGCATCGCATC